ACAAAAAATAATTTAATAAAAATAAAAAGTACTTTTAGAAGTTTGAATTCTGAACATGACCAGACTTTTCCTTTAATGTAACACTGTTGGTTCCTGGCAGCTTTTAAGGAGCCTCAGGGAGCAGAACCCGGATCTGTGAGTTTCTACCTGCAGGCTGAATGAAAGCAGAACTGATTCTATGTCACAGATGTAAATCAAAGCGTTCAGACAGATTTTCTATCAGCATATTAACCCTCAGGTGGATCATCAAGATCATTTCCACCCACTTAGTAAAGTTTGTAGAGCCAGTTAGCTGCATCCCTCCATGTTAGCTCTGTGGCTCTGCTGGGAAACATCGGGCAGTTTGCTGCTGGACCAAACCGGTGTTTAACAAACCAAAGATGGCTGACCCTTCTGGACGGGGCCCGGTTTACAGGGAGGGTTGAATGGATCAGGGTTTTTCTGTTGACCAGAAGGGGCCCATCCTGGTCCTGCTCACCCTGCGATCTGGACCGGGCCCCTTCACGGGCCTTTGTTCTCCGCCTCCTCAGCCAGAGATGTGTGAAAAGTGGGTCACAGGTCGGACCTCTTTGTGTTCCCCGGGCAAATGAAAAGTGACAGACACCGGCCATGCCTCAACACTAATATACTCTGTGCCCCCCCGCCCGCTCGGCGCCCACTAATTATGACCTGCGGTTATTAGTGCTGCGCCTGTAATTGCTGAGCATCCCTGGACAAATAGTTTGGTGCTTAGCTGGACGGTGGGGGGGCAGTGCCTTGCTGGCAGGGGTCACCGGGTCACGGGGGAGGAACTGGAGCCGGGCCGGACTCCCCGCCCCGCCCTCCACCCTGGCAGCTCTGAAGCATCACTGATTGGCCGGTTCATCCCATCATCCTGTCCAGTCAGAAAGAAGCTTCAAACATTTTGCTTCATTTCTGATTCTTTAGGCCGATTTTGCTAAAAATAAAAACATGGATTAATACAGTGATTTACAACCTTTATTGAACATTTACAAATTCCTCTGACAAACCAGCAACCAATCCACTGGTTTGTTTTGAACCTTTTTTGGAACGACTGACCTGGATGACTGAGAATCTCCAACGGCAACCAAGATGACACCAAACGACTCTAAAGCCTGATTTATGAAACCATGTGTCGCAGTAAACTCGGATAGGCCCCGCCCCTTCCGCAGACACTCTGGTGCACCTCCCCAAAATTGTAGGAGATCGCAGACAGGAGGCCTCTGATTGGTCAATTCTACATCCCCTCTATACTATTTCCTGTTTGGTTCCTTACCGGCTTGTTTTTTTTTTTGTATGACCGCCATTGTGAAAAACAACTCGTAAAGATGGAGCAGCTAGCAGAGCGAGGTGCGTGAGAACGCTGGGACGCCTTTTTCCACCCGGATCCCCGCTCTTTATCGCCCTCCATTGTTGCACAAACTTGCCCCCACTTCCTCACCGCCTCGGCCGTATCTAGACCCACAGCTAGCTCCTGATTGGCCCTCTGGCGTTGTGGCGTGGAATAACATAGCGCAGACCACGCTTCAATATTGAGCAGAAATCAAAAACATCTGCGTCAAGCTAACTGCGGTACACTCCTCCCCGGGACGATAACCAGGCCTTTAGTGTGAAGGCTGGGCTTGTTTCCATGAACATAGTAGGAAATCCTGGCAGGAATGGTAGAAAGACACACAGAGCTCTTCCTCAACAGTTCTCAGTCTCTGTTTTTAGTTTTTATCTCAGTCAAGCTTAAGAAGCTCAGCTCATGTAGATGTGTGGCTGAAAATGAGATTAATGCCAAAATACCTTTTGTGGCCAGAGTTGAGAAATTCTTGGCAACAGAATTTGACGGACAAAAACTGTCCAAAGGAAGAAAGTGAGAAAGCTTCCTGGAGAGGAAGCGAAACGTCTTCAAATCCTGGAAACCAAGTCCAGTGGATTGTTTCTTAAACTTATACGGAATGTCCAAAGAAAGATCAGCAAAGTTTAGCTTTAAACCACCAACTTGTTTCAGTTCAATGCTCCTTTAAAGTCGGGTCCTTTCCAGCAACAGATACTGAGCTGTAAGCACATTCACATGAAAATTACTATGAATTAAAAACATTAACCTTTATTGAACAGGATGGAATCATTTCAGATTTAAAGAACTTTCAGAAGTTTGAATTCTGAATATGGCTGGACTTCTACTTTAAAAAAAAAAAGTATTAATAAATCAAATGTGGGGTTCCTCAGGGAACATCTGCACATCCTCTCAGTTTTTATTTTACATTTGAGTTTCTTTCTGTTGTGTGACGGATCATGTTAAACAGTCAAACCTGGAAACGGGGCCACATGTTGGACCTGATCATCACCAAAGCTCTAAACATTTCCCTGTATCTGTTTGACCGCTGTTATCTCTGAAAGCATCATCTCCAGTGACTCGGTTAGCAAAGAGACGTCAGCAGAAAACTCCTCTGTAACTCAGTAGATGAGCTGCTAGATAACTTTCCTCTGAACATTTCAGACATCATTGCTCCAATTAAATGAAGTCTGGTTCTGGGGGGAAAGTCTCCATGGAGATCTGCTCCAAATGTCAGAAGTGTTGAAAAGCTGAAGGCAGGTGGAGAAAGAGACTCTGATCTAGAGCTGCAGTTAATGATTATTTAGCAGATCCATTAATCTATCCTGTGTTTTTTTTTATTTTTTTTTTATAAATTATCAGAGATCCAAAGGTTCCTTAAAGATTTAAAAAAAAAAATTTCCACTTGAGTTGTGGGTGGAGCCAGGGGCGGATTAAGGAAATTAGGCAAAGACAGGCAGGGGCCCCTCAACAGAGAACACATCAAACAGCCCCATTGTCCAGATAGAGAAATGTTAATAGAATAGACATCCATTATCTGTTCTAGGTTGTGTCCCTCTCTTCTTGTCCCTTTTCTTCTTGTTTTCCTCTCTATGTTTTGTACTCAGCTGACTTTTCATGCTGTCTCTAAAGGAATGAAAGATTTTTTCCAAGCACTAAGCTCACTTAGCTGATTGCTCCTTCCTGTGTTTCCAAAAAGGCCAAAGTAAATAACCCAGTCCTTCTTTTCACTGTAGACAAGCCATGATCTGCTTATCTGTTCTCCATTTTTCATTTGGATGAAATAATAGCTGCATGAATCATGACAGCAGACAAGATAGAGGAGAGCAGGAGGCGGGGTTACCAATCTACTCGCTCTGGAGAGCAGAGTTCGCTGCTTTTAGATGTTGTCTCCAAAGTCTCCAGTAGCAGAAAAAAGTCTCTAGATTTGGCGCTAGGAGCTTTTTAGAAATCAAAGTGCTAGAGGGGTCTGAAAAGTGGCTAAATATAGCGACTAAAGCGCTAAGTTGGCAACACTGCTCTTTGCATGGTTTGTTTTCAAATGGTTTGCTGCTGTCTGTTTGGACCTTTCTGAACATGTGCAGCAAATGGACTGATCCAATATGGTGGACACTGAAGGGGGGGGGCTGAGACACACTTAATATTATCAGCGTTCTGATGGCATTTTAGCCAAAGGATTTTTATCAAGAAAACATCATTAATGAGCAGAAATAAGGAACAGTTGTATTAACCACACATGGAAACAGAGTTTTATGGGGCCCCCAGGAACTTGGGGCCCTAGGCAGCTGCCTGGTATTGACAGACAAAAATTTTTATTTTTTTTATCTTAGATACAAAATGTTTATATATTTTTTTCACAATCTTGGTATAATTCCTGCTCTAAATGGGTCGCTCTGTCAGCTAAAGGCACGTTTAACTGTCTCTATACTCTAGTTACAGATTAATCAGTTACCGTACTAAATCAGTTGATGATTATTTCAATAATCAATCAATCCGATTAGTTTCAGTCCGACTCTGAATTCAGGCTCTGGAGAAAACAAAGAGAATGAACGACTGGATGGTTCAAAAGTTACACAGAATAAAGTGTAGCTAACTGCTAGAAACCAGAACCTCCAGAGGCAGAAATAGTCGCCTGAAGAAGCTTCAACGAAGCTTCCGGTCTGAAGCTTCTGGATGTTTCAGAGGGAACTGAGGTCCTCCTCTTCAGTCAGATCTCTGGGTAACTTCCACTGACCCACGGTTCTGTGTTCTGCTGTAAAACACCGGAAGTTACACTGCAAAAACGATGTAGAAATAAATGAAAATGTCTTAAGTGAATTTACTCTTAATTTGAGCAGGACAATAAGATCATTTGCAAATTTTTACTCTTGAAATAAGATAATTAGATAATATGCACTTTAAATAAGACAATGCAATAGTTTTTTCTTATTTTAAATGTAAATTGTCTCTTCATTAGCAAAGTGTCTCACTTACCTCCTCAATTCAAGAAGAAATGCACTAATTTTAAGAAAAGAAATGACTGAATGAATTTGATTTAATGTTTTGCAGTGTAGGGTTGTGGTCCAGTTTGGCTCTGAGAAGGTTTTTGTTACGTTGGTCTGAGCTGATGGACTGCAGCTGCAGAACATCCTGCTCCTTTTGGATCGTTTACAGAAACCAAATGTCTGATCTCATTAAATCTCTCCTCCTGTTTCAGGGTTTTGGACCCACAGAACCAGTGAGACCCGGTAGGACCTGCTGTGTTGATTCCTTGACCTCCTCCGACCTTCTCTGCTTCGCCCGCTGCGACTGAAGTCCGATCGGATCGGATTCCCTCCTCCCTCTGGAGCCCGAGCTGCCGCGTGGACTGCCTTGTTCTGGACCTGGTTCTGGCTGCAGGATGGCGGTTGGGTCCAGTTTGGCTGTGGTGCTGGCTGCTCTCCTGCTGGCTGGAAGTGACGGTGAGACGCTGCAGAATCACTCCTCCTGATTGTTCCTTTACTTAAAGTTGGACCCTTATAGAATTAAAATGGACCCAATCTGAACCAGAGGGTCTGTAAGCGACGCCTGTTTGGACCAGAACCGTTTCCTCACTGCAGATGAACCTGAATTCATCTGAAAAAATGGAAAATCATAGATTTAGACAGACTTTCTGGTCATATGGTTCACACAGGGTGTAAAACGAAATGTTGCTCAGTGCAGCTTTTTAAAACATTTCCATTTCTAAAGTGCAGCAGTGATGAGCTGCAGCAGGAGAACCAGGAAGCCCAGAGAGGTCGCCATCCAGGCGCCAAACATCAGGGGCTCCCAGCTCTCCCTGCTGCAGCTGCATCCCACCCATTCAGAGCTACTGGATCAGAACCTCAGGGGGGAAAGTCACTGCTTCATTCTGGTTTGAAGATCTGTCCTCAAACCTTGGAAACCAAGTCCAGTGGATTGTTTTTAAACTTTTACGGAATGACTATGACCTGGATGAATCTTCCTCAGCTTATGTTACTGCTTCATCTAAAGCCAGGCGTACGCTGTGATTTTTTTTCAGTTGTTGCACGCAGCTGCAGCTCACACTGTACGATGAAACCGTAGGGTGTAAAAGTTCACAGCTCACCATGTTTGTTCTCACACTGCGACGCTCTGATGCGATCTACCTGCTCACACTCTACGCCTAAAAACCAGGTGGGACTCGACAATCTGGAAGAAGAAGAAGAACTGTCTTGTTTGCACATGCTCAGTGCTCTGGGTTCCGATAAATCGGCTCCTAGCTCTGCTACAACAGCAGGATTTACCCACCAACACCTCACAACAGCCGACTGCGTTTCAAATATGTTTGATTTTCTCCCGACCTTACGAGTCCTGATGGGAGGTGGTCGTTAGAGGCTGATCGCTACTCGTTACCGCCTGCACAGCTACACCACGCACCATCAGGCTGAAATCAAAAAAATCCTCGCACGACTGGAGAATCGCCCTGAAAACGGCAAAAAGTCGTACAGCGTACGCCCAGCTTCAGTGGATCAAAGGGCAGATCAGTTTGATCAGTTACTAGTTTAGTTGTTTTCTGTACAAACTGGACTGGTTTCCATTAACCAACTGGTTCCAGTCTAAGTTAATAAACACTGAGGAAGATCAAACTGGTTCTCAGCCTTCATCATGTTTATTTATTGATTATTATCTGATTATTGTTGTATAAATCAGCTTTATTTTCCCATTAATTCATTAAATCCTCCATGATTCAGTCAATAAGAGGAAAAGATCCACAGAAGGAACTGACTCAGACTCTGAGGGCAGACTGTTACGGATCAGAACCATTAAACCAGAACCATGCATAGTTCTGTTACAGTGACACACCTTCTGGTTTCACTGCTGGTGTCTGCGGTTCTGGTTCTGATCCGTTCTCCTGCATCAGGAACCAGTCCTGGTTCTGCCTCCCAGTACGCTCCAGCGCTCTCTCTCTCTGCCTCTGCCCTCCTCCCTGCAGGAAGCTGTTGAACTGATTGCTGCCGCTCTCGCTTCCTCTCAGCACATAAACCATTTCCTGTATCGCGCGGTGCGATCCTTCAGCGGCGCTAAACGCTCCAAACAGCCATTGTTCTCCGGAAATATCCCTCATTCCCCTGGAGACGCCTCGCCTCTTTGAAGCTGTTCATTTTCCCTGCGAGGGCCGCAGAGCGCCGGCCCGCCGCGTTCTGGAGCAGAACCGCTGCTCCAGTCGGTTCCGCCGGTTCTGTTCTCTGCAGCTTCATGTGATTCCATTAGATAACCTGCAGAGTGAGCGCTCTGTCCACCCGTCCAGCTCTGGTTAACCAGGTTATTAATTACCCCCTCTGGGCAGNGATCAGTTTGATCAGTTACTAGTTTAGTTGTTTTCTGTACAAACTGGACTGGTTTCCATTAACCAACTGGTTCCAGTCTAAGTTAATAAACACTGAGGAAGATCAAACTGGTTCTCAGCCTTCATCATGTTTATTTATTGATTATTATCTGATTATTGTTGTATAAATCAGCTTTATTTTCCCATTAATTCATTAAATCCTCCATGATTCAGTCAATAAGAGGAAAAGATCCACAGAAGGAACTGACTCAGACTCTGAGGGCAGACTGTTACGGATCAGAACCATTAAACCAGAACCATGCATAGTTCTGTTACAGTGACACACCTTCTGGTTTCACTGCTGGTGTCTGCGGTTCTGGTTCTGATCCGTTCTCCTGCATCAGGAACCAGTCCTGGTTCTGCCTCCCAGTACGCTCCAGCGCTCTCTCTCTCTGCCTCTGCCCTCCTCCCTGCAGGAAGCTGTTGAACTGATTGCTGCCGCTCTCGCTTCCTCTCAGCACATAAACCATTTCCTGTATCGCGCGGTGCGATCCTTCAGCGGCGCTAAACGCTCCAAACAGCCATTGTTCTCCGGAAATATCCCTCATTCCCCTGGAGACGCCTCGCCTCTTTGAAGCTGTTCATTTTCCCTGCGAGGGCCGCAGAGCGCCGGCCCGCCGCGTTCTGGAGCAGAACCGCTGCTCCAGTCGGTTCCGCCGGTTCTGTTCTCTGCAGCTTCATGTGATTCCATTAGATAACCTGCAGAGTGAGCGCTCTGTCCGCCCGTCCAGCTCTGGTTAACCAGGTTATTAATTACCCCCTCTGGGCAGTGAGCTGCTGTCGCCATGGCAACGCAGGGTCAACATTCCCCACAGGAAGCGGCTGAGTTTAAAAGGACGCTGCGTTTTATTGGTCATAAAGAGGAGCTTCAGTGATGAAGGTCTGCTCCTCTTCCTCAGTCCTCAGCAGCTGTTTTACTGTTAAAGGGCCAGCAGGTAATAAATGCCTGCAGACACGACTCGGGTTTAACAAAACCCAACGACAGGATTATTTTATTCTCATCAGATAAAATAAGACAGAAGTTCACAAACAAATCAAAGTTTGATTATAAAATAAAATTAGATCAGAGGAATTTTTTTTTATTTGCATAATTATAGTCTAAAGTACTTAAAATAAATCTACAGACGATTTAACAGATTCCATTTGATTTATTAATGTTTGAGTTTAGGTTAACAGAAGCAGGAATTTATTATGAGGCCCTTCAAAATAAAAGCCTCATAACCAGGCCAACTTTATTCATAAGAACTTCAGAACAACGTAAATAATCAGACGGGATGAGAACAACAAAGCAGATGTTTTCAGAGAATCCAAAGCCTGGGAGCTTCCATGGATGACCTTTGACCTCTGATGGTCCACAGCATCTCCTGGTTCTTCATTCAGTAGAAGGTTCCTCTCAGGAGGATCTCCTAACTTCTGCACCAGACAGTGACTCATTGTCGGCTGTCATAAAACGCGCCTCGCAGTCGATCACGCCTCCTGCATCGCCATGGAAACCAGCGGTTCTCCAGCCGCCTGCATGAAGGATAAATAAAGCTGCAGCGGCGCCGAGTTACCCAGCATGCTCTGCCAGACCTCAGTCTGCGCTCAGACTGATGCTGCGATTAGGCACACATGCGGACAGAAGCCCCGCCCCCCCCCTGATTGTTAGTCACAGGACGTCGGCCAATCACTGAGCCGACAGGAGGACTCTAACCAATCAGAGGAGGAGCTGATTAAAGCCCATCAGTTAATGATTAGATATGAAGTTTAGATCATCATCATCATCCTCTGGAGGTGAGAGGTATCACTCTGAGTGAAATCATCAGCTCCTCTGTTATCAATGAAGGGAAATAAACTGAATTAATCTGGTTAGTTTTTAGGAATCAAATGGATTCAGTGAACTAGAGCTGCAGATGTTTCCAGCTGCTGATTCTGACATTTAGCCTCATTAACCTTTATCAGTGAAGAAAAGGCTGTTTGAAGGTGATGGTTCATCTCCTGCCGTTTAAATACAACAAACTTC